AATTAAATAAAAAATATATTGTGGAACAAAGAAGTTCTACAACGCCCGCCGATGATAATACCGGCAAATTAAATAAAAAATATATTGTGGAACAAAGAAATTCTACAGCGCCAGCCGACGGAAATACCGGCAAATATAAAAAATTAAATAATATTGTGGAACAAAGAAGTTCTACAACGCCAGCCGATGATAATACCGGCAAATTAAATAAAAAATATATTGTGAAATAAAGAAGTTCTACAACGCCAGCCGATGATAATACCGGTAAATTAAAAACAAAATATATTGTGGAACAACACCAGCCGAAGTTCTTACCGGCAAAATAAGAATCGTGAAAAACCAAGTAAAAAATGTAAAAAGACCAAATTTAAAAATAAATAATTTCAATACTACCGATGAAAATAATTTCGAAGAATTAACTGTGCTTCAAAACATTTAAAAGAAAAAAATTCTCAAATGTATTCAGGCAATGATACAAGCTTCCCATTTCAGCCTGGAGAAATAATTTATGAAAAGATTACAGGAGAGAGAAATAAACTAAATCCTAGATACAAGAAACAGGTAGTAAAAGAGGACTTAGGGAATAAAGTTAGAAATGATAAATACTTATTGTAAAATTAATAATAAAAATGCTTTCCTATCAGATATTTTGTCCAGTAAAAAAGGAAAATGTAAAAAATTAAAGAAAAACATAAAGATATAGATGTAATAAAAGAAGGAGCAATATTAGTCTCTGGAAATCATACTGTAGATGACTCTGCCATAAATGGAGTTTACCTTGTAACATTTGAAAACTATACCAACATTGACAATATAATTTATGAAAATATTGATTGGAAAATTTGGAAATATTTAAAAATAATCCTTTTAATAACTTGGAAATTGTAGAATATATTGAAACAAAGAATAAAGAGTTTAAATTTGAAAACATAAATATTTTGAGTGAACGAATCAAAGAATTTAAAAATCATTCACTTTTCTGGTACATGAATGTAACACTTGTTCTATTAATAATAATATACATAATCTATAGGATTTTTAAAAAATCATATAACACCAATATGCGAAACAAAGAATTAAAATTCCCAACATTGTCATATAACACTATTTTTAAAAAATTTACAATATATCAGAAAATGATATTGAATCGGGGACGATTCATCTTAGAGAGGTGGGAGTTAACGGCAGCAGCCACACAGACACCAGGGAACGTCTATCATAGAGAAGGTTCACGGCGCGGAGATCGTAAAAATATTTTTGGCTAACTCGGTCGAGATGAGCCAGTTTCATCACTGCCAGCTCGGCAGAAGAAATTTTAACATTTTCGTTTGAACAGAGCTGAGCGTGAAATAAAAACTATGCACAAAACTATATTTGGCTCTAACAGACGTATGTTCGCTCTTTTGCTTATATTTTTATACGTTTATATGCACACATGTGTACGTTTAATATAGAGAAGGTGCTGCCAATTTTACAATATTTCGTTTTTTGGAGGGGTACTCTATTCTATTAGTGGATTTCACGACAAACTCTTTTCTATAAACGGATTTCACCAATATTTAACAGGACCGTCGAAAATAGCAGAATTGAGCATTTTCAGTGATAAATGAGAAAAGTAATGCTTATATGCAAATAAGAGACAGCCAACGATGTAAAAGCTATGAAAATGTATTTACAATATATGTATGCTCTTTTTGGCTGAGTATTTTCATATTAAATTTTTTTGATATATGTTTTCATGGAGTAATTGCGCCAAATGTATAATATTTGCAAACAATTTATGCGCTTTTAAACTCAGTATTGGGCATATTTGAGTTTTCAAATGTTGGTTTGTACTTAGATTTTTTACGTATGTATATATTTTATATGTATGCAATATGCAAGTACCGTACAAGAAACTGCTGATCGCTTCACTAATACACACATTTTTTATGTCAGAGCTGAGGAAAAAATGACACTCAAATGACTGTCAATGCTTATGTTAAAAAGAAAAACCTATGAATAATATTGCTTATATACATACATATGTAAGAATGAAATAGCTTAATTATTCAACACTAAATAACACTAAAAATTTTAAATAAACACTTTTCAACACTAAACATCGTTTATCAACACTGATCTGTATGCAGAAAAGCAACTCTGTAAAAAGAGATACATACAATTCCATATATGTACGTTTATAAAATGTTGCGCAAAAAAATGTTTACTGTTATTCTTGCCACAAAACGAGAAGCGTTGCGCGTTAATTCGGTGAATTCTAAATCGAATTATTATATTTCGTGCGTTGTTTAAGTGATTTATGTTTTGTGATTAAATCTACAATTTACTATATTATCAAGAAAAGATAAGTAAAACGACATTTCAAAATCATTTAAGTAAAGAAAAAAGGATTTTCAAATCCAAAATAATAAAATATAAAAATTTGGTGGAATGTGCGGGGAAGTTAAATAGTGCACAGAATAGTGAACTCTTAAATACGATGAATTATGTTGCAAAAGAAAATGACGAAAATAGTGATGTTGTGAATTGCGAAATTTCAAATGAAACTTTTAGACATTTAGCAATAGAAACTTCAGTTTCCTTAAGAGATGGTGTTATTTCAAACTTACCAAATGTGACACCATTTCTGATTGCTTGCTTTTCTGGTTTTAAAAAATCAATAATATCAATTCGTTTATGGCAGATTTTTGTTCAGAAGTAAAGCTGTTAAGGGAAAAGGGAATTAAAGTTGGTCAAAACTGCATTTAAAAAAAATTTAATGTTCGCTTTTTTTAATGCGATACACCAGCTAGGGCTTTTGTTACAAGTGTTATTTCACATAATGGTGAAAATGGTTGCCCAAAATGTTGTCAGGAGGGTATATACAAAGACAGACGAGTATGTTTCTCAAAAAAAGTTAGTTCATCTCGGACAGATTTAACTTATACCTTAGTTGAAGCAGATGTAGGTCAAGAAGTATTAAATGATTTTGTAAATTATTTTGCGACCATATATGGGGATGAGTTGGTTAGTTTTAATGTCCATGGTTTGCTCCATTTGTCTGAGTGTGTAAAACAGTTTGGTCCATTAGATTCCTTTTCAGCATATAAGTTTGAAAATTATATGCAATTTCTTAAAAAAATAGTTAATAAGCCAAACAAAGTGTTGCAACAAATATTCTTTCGCCTCAATGAAAGGCATATATTCAGCGGGGATTTTAATATGGGCTCAGAAGTAAGATCATTTTAAATTAATCCAAACAAAGGAAAGGATTCTTTTTGTTTTAGCAAAAAATTTGGAYCAATGAAAGTAATAAACATTAAAACGTCATCCAATGCAAATAAATATATGTATATGTAACGCTTTTAAGAAGTTAGAAAACTATTTTGAGACTCCTTTTGAGTCTGCCATAAGTCTTGGAATTGTTTTGGCTAGTCAGTTAAGTGCTGACGTTATTGAAATTTCAAGAGAAGATATTGATTGTAAATATTTTTGCATTCCTCACGTCGAACAATTTCTTCTCATTCCTCTTTTACATCATCTCTTTCACGATTTTTCACAACAACCTGCACATTCTGCTTAAATGATTTTAATAAAATAAATTTAATAAAAATTTTAATTTTACATGAGCTCTACAAGCAATATGTTTGTCGAATCAATCTTTGAAAGCCAAGAAGAAAATGGTAAGAAAACAGAAATATAAGGCAGTCGTATTCTATTAATAATATTTAAATATCTATTTCAGATCATTGATCCCAAGGAAGTTATATGGTATAAAAGACAACGTATCAACAACCTCAACACCTTCACAAGATAAGGAGAATGTACCAACTCAAGAATTAAATACGATGGCCATTCTAAACGAAATTCTGGGAAAGCAGAGGGAAATATTGGATAAGATACATACTGTAGAATCAAATGTAAGTAAATATTCTATAAGTTTTACAATTTAGATTAAAGCGGCTCTTTTTTAAAATACATAGGTTCACTAAATAATGGACAAGTGTTGATAACAGGGAATCAGAAACAAATTACGGACAAATTGGAAACAGTGGAACAAAAAGTAAATATTTATATATAAAGATATAATTACAAATAAAATAATTTATTTGTATTTTCACAGTCTATAGATAGATTGGAAATGCTAGCACAGAGTTCCCTGATTAGGGAATGTAAGGTGCATTTAAAAAAAATTTAGCGATCGGTGTGCCTCATGACGGGAGAGTAAAAAGACGAGGCTCTCGACCAGGCAGCAAGCCTTTTACCTATTCAAAACTTTGAGGGATGTTCGGAAGTGGAAGATATGTTAGAGAAACCTGAGTTCGCACAATCTATGGTAAAAAAAAACATTATTTATAATATCAACATCTTAAAAATTACTATTTACCTTTATATATTATTATTTTACAGATCAGTTATGTCCACAAACTTAAAGGCACATCGGACAATATTGAAAACTCTTTCAAATATACATATATTTGCAGACATCCTACTAGAGTATTTCAATTTTGATGGAAGAGGAGAAAAACAAGCATTATGTAAGCTAAAAATCTTCGAAGAAGTTTTAAGAGGTAAATAAGTTTAATGTAAAAGCAATAGAAAACTATTTTTAATTAATTTCAATTTTATAGTCGTTTACCAGCCACAAGGATCTTTCAATTTGGAAAAGAGTATACGGAGGTCTATTGAACGGGGTCACCACCGAAATAACGCAAAAAAAAATTTATATTAATAGGAAAAGAAACAATTAATATAATTTTTCAATAATTTAATTTTATTTTATTACCATTATGATTTTGAAACATGAATTATATGATTTAAAATTAATGAA